TCTGGAAACCAGCTAGCTACAGCGCTACAAACTCATTGGATTCAGATAAGCGGGGTTTTGCTCCGCCCCCTGGTGGCTAAAAGTAGTTACTACAACTAAAATAAAGCTGGAATAAATATATCAGAGATGCGCTTCCTGTGGAGCCTTTCAAAGTAAAACACATACAAACTCTCCGCTGCGGTTTGAACAAGTTTTATTTATAAGCAGCAAGGAAATCCAACAGTGTTAATTACATTAATTAATTAGATATATATTTTTTTTACATTTAACCGTTAATCTGAATATTACATTACATTCTGTTTTAATATGAGCAGCAAAATCTAACTGCTGTGCTATAAACTATAGGATGCTTCTGTCAATATAAACCAATATAAAAATCTAAACCAGATAAATCTGCAATCTAACAATTTTTCTGAGGTCTGAATAACATGAACTACCACATTACAGATCCATGATGTGACACATTGGCTCCAAAGTTTCCCTAAAACTCTCTTAATTGATACACTTAGAGCTTAGACCAAACAAACTCTGAGAAACATTAAAACACGACAAATAAAATGTTATGAAATAAACCTTCCTCATTTTAGAGACGAAGGAATGACCTAAAAAAATTATTGTATTATTTTCCACAGATTAACAAAAAATAATCTAAATAGCTCCCTTTCTCCAGATAAAATAAGGAATGACAGTACAATGTTTAAGATCAAAATGTTTATGGGACACCCAGCTGTAAACCTGTTAAAATAGGTTTTAAAAGTCTCTGGCTTCTTCCCATGACCTCATATTGCAGCTCCTTCCTCCTGATCCTTCAGCTTTCATGTTGTCAACAGTAGGAACATCATCCAGAGGAGGAAAGGAGCTCCAGACTGCTGAGCTGAATCCAGACAGCCTTCAGCCTTATGAACATGATTCCATAATAGAAACCCACATGAACTGGGTGTGTTGACAGCAGCCCTGCAGGACTGGAGTCTGAGAGGGCTGCTCTAATGCAGCCCTCTCAGACTCCTGCTTAGTTCCTTTGAGGCATCTGGACTGAAACATGGAAACCAGAAGGAGAACAGATCAACCTCACTGCTGACCAGCTCAGAGTTAGCAGCTGATACGTCCATCTGAGGATCCTGAGGAGACAGGGACTTCCTGTTGGTCACATGACCAGCTGACTGACAGCTGCTTCACCACATTTCAAACTTCCTGTTGTCCTTATAAGGAGTTCTGTTGAGGATGTTGTTGTTGAAGAGTCTAGAAACAGAGCAAAGAAGAGAGAAGATGTGACTTATTCAGACCAGACAACATGGCTTCAGCAGGAGATCAGAGTTCATCTTCAGCAGACTGCTGCTCCAGGATGGCTTAAATCTCCAAACATCATCTCTGGAGCAAAGAAAACTGCTGGAATCTGTCTCTGAGCAACTAAAGCTAAAAGTTGTCATGAGTTCTTTATTCTGAATGTTTTCCATAACTGCATCAAAGAATAACATTTTTATCTCTGTCCAAAAGAATTTATAAAAATGCGCAATACCATCAGATCCAGGAGCTTTATCTGATGCTACATTTTTTACAGCACAGTCAAATTCTACTATACGGAAATCTTCATCACAGATATTTTTAAAGGTAGAGTCTATAGTAGAAATAACATTTATGATTTTTCTGAAAAATAATTTTGAGTCTTGTTTGGAGTATGAGGACGTAAAAAGAGTGCTGGAAAATTCCCTAATTTCTTCCGATATAAGTTTTTTGTCTGTGCATTCTTCACCGTTCATTATGAGACTGTTAATTAAATGTTTTCCCTGCCTCTGTTTTTCTAACCTGAAAAAATATGATGTAATTTTCTCTCCTTCTTCCATCTCTCTTGATTGTTTAAATGCTACTCTTGCTTTGTTTTGATAGTATTGATCTAGTTTAGACTGTAATGTTGGTTCTATCTTCCTCACTCCAATCAGATTTACAAAAATATGAAATTAATTCTGTGATTAATTTGGTTTCTTCCATTTGTTGTTCTTTTTGTAGTTGTTTACTGTGAAATAGAGAATTTTCTTATGAAAAATTTAAAAAAATTCCCATTTTTNATTACTGCAACTAAGATAAAGCTGAAATAAATCTATTAGAGATGCGCTTCCTGTGGAGCCTTTCAAAGTAAAACACATAGAAACTCTCCGCTGCGGTATGAACTTGTTTTATTTATAAGCAGCGAGTAAATCCAACAGTTTTAATAATTACATTAATTAATTAAATATAGATTTTTTCCACATTTAAAAACCATTAATCTGAACATTACATTACATTTTGTTTTAATATGAGCAACAAAATCTAACTGCTGTGCTATAAACTATAGGATGTTCCTGTGTTTACTAGATACAACTACTTTTGTGTTTTATGATCGTAATTTAACCTAATTTTATCTGACCAGATAAGAATGAAAATTATAGTAAATATAAAAGTTAATCTGGATTACCAATAATAATGAATTATAAACAATATCTGTAGTTACAATACTTAGTTAGCAGAGGGCAGTGAGAAGTCATAATTAAACATCCATCCATGCATCTTCTCCTACTTATTCGGTCAGGATGGAGGTGGGGTTGGTGCCTATCTCCAGCCGCCAATGGGTGAGAGGTGGGGTCCATCCTGGAGAGGTCACCAGTCTGTCGCAGGGCAACACAGAGACACACAACCATGCACACACTCTCACACCTAAGGACAATGTAGAGAAGCCAATCAACCCAAGAGTGGGACTGTGGGAGGATGCTGGAGCACCCAGAGAGAACCCATGCATGCACAGGGAGAACATGCAGACTCCATGCAGAGAGAACCAAACCCTGAATCTTCTTGCTGCAAGGCAACAGTGCTATAAACTGCACCGCTGTCCAGCCCTAATTAAACATCCCAAAATTATGAAACATTTTATTTCTAACTAAATTCTAATGACTGCAGATATATTGACTGAAGGCATTAACTAAAAATCTACCAGTTTTATATTCCTATATTATTAGAGATGGAGTCTCAATATCAAATATTCATACATACCAGATGGTATACAACAGATACTTAGAAGCATTAATAGTTTTATTTAGATGGAAATTTATGGAAGAAAAACAGTCTCATTGGAATCTGCCTTTTTTTTAACACCGAAAAAATTCATCAGAAAAAAATTCAGCTGCAAAAAAATTGTTACCAAAAGTGTTGACCTTTTGGTGAACTCAAGCCTTAGAGCCTTCATTTCGGCCAGAGGCAACATGGCGGCGGCAAACAGACAGGGGTGCCGTATTAGCTGTGATCGGCTAATATTAAAAAGGAGGTGAAATACTTGGGAATTGTCATTACAAGAAACAGGACATCTTCTGATAACATTAACATTTGGAACAATATTGAAAAATGTAAACTGATTCTTAATCAATGGTTACAGAGAGACGTCTCTCTTTTTGGAAGGATCTTATTAACGAAAATGGAGAGCCTTTCTCGATTTATTTACCCTGCTTACACACTCCGATATCAAACTAAATGATAAAAGCTATTAATAAACTACATTTTAACTTTATTTGGAAGAATAGAAATCATTCCATCAGTAAAAATGACATGATTAAAACTTATGAAGATGGTGGGGGAAACGCCATAGATTGTGAGATTATGAACGCGGTATTAAAACTTAAATGGTTGAAATATTTAGTATCTAATAATCTCTCAGTTTGGTCATATATACTCAATTTAGTGTTCAAAAAAATAGGTGGAATCAAATTTCTTTTACAATGTGATTTTGAGATAAATAAATTAAATTATCTGATTTTTATAAGCAGGTTCTCCTCTATTGGAAATGAATCTTTAATCATAACTTTACACCACATAACACCCCTGTCTGGAACAATAGATACGTTCTGAGTAATAAAAAATCCATATTTATGAACAAATGGTATAAAAAAGGAACATGGGCTGTTTCTCATTTCATGGACAATAGAGGTAACCTGTTACTTCATCAGGAGTTTTAGAAAAAGTATTAAATCCAGAGTAATGTGAGTAAATACAATCAGATCTTAAAAACATTCCCTTTACCTCTTCAGGCTATGGTTAGACAAGATATTACATTTTCTGATATTTCTCCAGAGCTCAAACAATTTTTTATAGGCAATGTAAATTTTTTCAGCACTCGATGTAACAATACATTTTTGAGGTGTTATTTGATATATTGTTCATCTTTCAACCATATAAAGAGAGAAAATATTCTCAAAGATTTCTGTGTAGAAGCAAAAAAGATGATCAGAACTAAATTCCTATCATATCTCCAAAAATGAAGGAAATTCAATTTAAAATAATTAACAGAGTTTATCCTACTAACCAATTTCTAAGCAAAACATTTAATTTAGACACTGAAACTGTTGTTTCTGTGAGGCTGAAAGTGAAAGTCTGGAACAGCTTTTCTTTGATTGTTCTGTAGTCCAAAGCTTTTGGCTTGATTTTCTGATCCAATCTAAAGGAATTCACTTACCTGATTTTACCCTAACAGTAGCTTTATTTGGTATAATTGCAAAAATTAAGCATAATTTTAGTGTTAATATTTTGATTTTATTAGTTACATTTTATTTACACAAATGCCATTACTTAAAATGTAAACCAGTTATATTCAATTGGAAAAATTAGACACAATCTTATGTTAAATCTTTAGAATTTGTAAGAACAAAAAGTGCTGGTAATTTTCTTTCTTTTGTGAGTAAATTTAATCTGCTGGTTTAACGCCCTGTTCTTGAATCTATGTATAATATAATGTTGCCCCTTTTATCATTATTATTTTATTTTTACTATTATTATTGTTCCATCTGTTTATATTTTGCCTTCCTCTGTATTAAGATATGCTTTATGCTCTGCAATGAATGCAGTTCTGTGCTGGTAGCTGGTGTAATGTACATTAGTTAAATAAATAAATAAAAACTAGCTGTGATCGGCTCAGTTGTTTCATCCGGTCTGATAAGAGGAGAAACTCTAATAACTGTCTGTTAGTAGCTAACTGACGTTTTGTAATTCTGTTTAACCCTTTATAGGGCACTCATTGAAATACATTGAAATTCAAATGTTAAGCCAAGAGTTTTGTAGGAGGCCAGAACAAGACATCATTACTTCTGTTGCATTAAAAAAAAATGTTTTAATTTTCATACCAAATATTGCGATTAATGAAATTACCAAAAACAGTCACTTGCCCTGATATGGTAAAAAAATATTCCAAACTGTGTTTCTATAAGAACAATCATGCAAAACACTTAAAGAGTGAAATAAATACATGTTTTGATGCAATATACAACTCAGAACATTAGTTTTAACATGTGCACTAAAATTTTTGTATTTTCAGTATTTGTATTTGGTTGCTTATTGGAGTTTTTATTTAACTTAACTTTTTAACATATTAACTTATTACCTTAACTTAATAAACTATTAACTTCATTTAACTTAATTTATACCAGGTAACATCCCAGGACAGCAGGGAACATTAGATTACTGGTGGTAGTCTTTGAAGCAGTTAGGCTCAGCTTTCAGACAGAGGTGGACCTTGCAGACCCTGCAGACCACATTTGACCTCTCAATGGTGCCTTGTTTGCTGCAAAACTTGCAGGTCTGGTGTTTGGCATGGACAGGAGCATGGAAGAGGAACAGATCAAATCACACTGCCTTATTTGAGGTGTGGCTGCGGTGTCCTCGGACTGGAGGGGGAATGTAGTCATTGGTGGTCAGATGAAGATGATGAGCTTCTCCTGAATCTAGTGATGGGTGACCTTAGGCTACTGGCACTCATGAACATGTTGATTCTGAAATCTTTCAGAGACATGGCATTCACACCAAGGGCCTTGTAGTCCCGCTTGTAGACGATCCAGGCATCTGAGAGGCTAAGATCAATGGTGTATGCGAACCATGGCAGGTACCACTTGGACTTCATGGGGGTACGGTAAAGGTGGACCAACCTGTCAGTCTTATCAATGACCCCCCATGCTGGCATTGCAGGATGCATGTGTCGCCTCTTAGGAGAGGGGCCCATCTCACTCAGGCCTTGAATGTCCAGGTTATGGGTTGGTGGGACATAGTCTGTGTCTGACACACTGTGATCATCTTCCTCGTCATCATCATCACTGATGGCAAGGTGGGCTGGCACCACAGTTGCTCCTGGTTTGCTGTAAAACAGCCGAGTAGAGAACTGGCAAAAAAATAAAATAATAATAGTTAAAGAAAGTCAAAAAACTGTTATTAGATCATAAAACTGACAAAAA